ATCATCTCTAGGATAAATGTTTGCTCCCTAACTGTATTTATCCTTATTTGTGTTTTCTTATCTGATTTCACACTATTGGCTATGAATTCAAACATATATTAACAATGAATGACATACTACTATCAAGATACTCGACTGATCCGCCTCCTCACTCTCTTATGTGGTGCGGTGAATTCCTCCTTTAAGGAGCTGAATCACAACTAAGTACAATAGATTCTCCTACTGTTGGACTCGACAAACATCAACATCTTTGAAAGTGGACGGGGTGGCAATGATTATCAAAAAGCCAACTAACTCTGCCTTGGTCAGAAACTGGTCAAAATGTTAGTCATGGCTACTTTACTTTTATTGAAAGGCTAGACACCCACTGAACCCTTAACACAGACCTTTAATAGTGCCACATTTTGATATCCATTTTACGCACATCAGATTGTGTTGGTTCAAAAGGGTTAAAACCGGACGTTTTAACCATCCCACTTTATGTCCCATCCATTTAAGGTTTTCAGCAACCCTGTTTTCTTGCTTCAAAGTCGAATCTTCACTTAATAGTTAACAATACTTTGTTTCACCGTTGTTATAGGTTACAATCAAGGATTTGTGTGTTAAAGGTGCCCCAAGAGACCTCTTACCAGGGGATCCAGTGTGTGCTCCTATCCGTACAGCATTAGCAGAGGCTTCTGTTTCCCTTGTCAGGAGCCTTTCTGAGTACCCTTTGTGGAAAGACCAAATTGCCAGTGCAATCCTAGAAGGTCTCCAAGAAGCGAGGAACACGCTGTTGTCAAGCACTACTCCGGATAAGCTCCGCCAGTCGGATCAGCAAGGTTCTACGGATTCCAACTTTAATGGTGTAATAGAGGTAGTGTTGATATTTTTTTCCATGGTGTATTAAATGCGTTGCACAGAAAGTGGTTTTGGATTTTTGTACTTTTTTTTCACGTCAACGGAAGACATTTGATTTACTTAATAACTTTGAAAATTATTTCAGGAAGAAAATGGCCTTTCCTTATACAACTCCGTCTTTTGTTCTTGTGTTTGGCCCTCATTGGCTGTGATTGGTGGAATCGACTCTGGACTGAGGGTGGGTGGTCGATGTGTTGACAAGAAGTTGTCCAGATATGGTACGGTGTTAGGTGTGAGCAGACTTGGAAGTAAGAGTGTAAAAGTACAGTGGGATGAGGGAGAGCATCTTGTCGGGTAAGGAAAACATGTGGTCTGGTCCTAGTTGATTAAAGGTTAGACAGTGTTATCCACGTGTCCAATTACTTTCTAGGGAATCATGCAATTGGTTAATTAAATAATGATTCAACCGGTAGAAAGTGCTATCCAATTTTGGAGTAACTGGGCCAAGTTTGCTACTTTTTGTTATCGAAGCCTGTGAATGGAAAGGGAAGATAGATATTTAGACAGATCATTTAAATGAACGTGTTACGGCTAATGAACAAACCAGCCAACAAACCATTGTAATTATTATCACAACCATTATGTTTTATAAGTATCAAGTAGATGTAGAGCTTAACGTGCTACCGTAGCTATAATTTTACAATAACGACAATTTAGAGTAGGGGGATGGAGATATGGTCATCATCGGCATTAGCCCAACAAATGTTATTGGCGTACTTCCAATTTATGAGTTTTTTTAGTGTTCTCGGTAGAGTACTGCAACGCTAGCGCAGAGGCCATGGTTTCGAATCCTGTTAAAGCCCTGAATTTTTTTTTCTGGCTTTATTTGCAATTGCGTAAATGCCGATTAGGATTGTGATGATGATATCTTCATCAAGAGATCTTTTCGGTGGTAATCTCCTCACATTAGTTTCATTTCGTTCAACTTAATAAGATCAGCGCGTCCAGCCCTCACGATTAAGCACCCGGGTGCTTTTTAAAGGAAATACGGTGTGTGCAGTTTGATTTTTTCCTTTCAGTGACATCATGGCCTCTAGTTTAGAGCCATTGCAACCTCAAAAACTTAATGCCAGTCTCCTAGCAGATCTTCCACCTAGCTTACTCCTTGATCTATTAAAAATAAGTGGTTTGTTGAGTGAAAGTCAAGATTCAAGCTTTGGAAAAAATAATGGTCTTGAGAAGAGTTGTAGAAACGTACAGGGCGCTGGAAATGGGGATTCAAAGAGAGAATGGATTTCTACTACATTGTCCTTGGGTAAGGACTTGAACACTGAGAGTGGTGATACAGAAGAAACAGATAACCAAGACAAGAAAAACGAAAAAGATGTGGACTCCGTTAAAACAGCTTATTTTGATTCAGTTTCGTACCAAAGTACCAGTGAGGCTAAAATGCAAAGAAGCAGTGCTGGGTCATGGGATTCAGTATTGTCAGAGTCAGACATTACCAGCATTTTTGAACCACTTGTTAAAGTTTGTGCTATGAAATCGCTCGCTGTTTTACTTACCTCGAACAAACTGCTAGAAACCTTGAGTCCTGATGTGTACACTGAAAACTGTTCCTTGAGTGGTGAGAATTCTGAACAAATGTTTGATTGTATGCAGACTCTACTCAGGAGTATGGTCTCATATTCAGTTTTACCGTCACCGTTTAGAAAAGTGGTCACTTTGATGGACTTGGAAAGGGCACAAAGTGTGCTTTTGAAAGTAGTGCCCGCAACTTATGCTGCTATAAACCCCGAAGTTGAGAAAAAGGAATTTGTAAAAGGTACGTTTAGCTGAGAAGACAAAGAGAATTTAAATCGTCCCAGTCATTCTTTTTTTGTAATCTAATTGAACATTTGTCATCTATGTGAAATACCTAAATCTCGCGTAGACAACCCTCTGTTTCTTGTATATTTGAGATGAGCGAAAAACGAGACAAAAAATTGTGACAACTTAACCAACATTTTAACGGTGATATACATTTATCTGAGACTTGTTGGGTTTGACGTGTTTTGCTCTAAAACTAAAGGAGAATGTCTTATGGGCTTTAATTTCAGAAGCTTGTAGCCCTTCAGAGGATAGCAAGGACACCCCAGAAGAAGGACTAAGTATGTGGAATGAGAGGTGTAGCTCCGCTCGTGATCAATCGCTACACAGTAGCCGATCCAGCTCTTCTAACTCCATGGGTTCCCCACCAACGCAAACTACAGACACTGATGATATAGCCTCTGCTTGCGAGCAAGAACGTCCATCTGAGAGAAGGTTCAGCCAAATGCTGGATGACGAGCTTTCCTCTCAGTTGCCTTCATCAAAACCTGTTAATCTGACTGAGCAAGGCGACTGTATGTCTGCTGGACAAACATCAGTCACAGGACCGTCTCAAGCAGTTCAAGGGTCCAGTTTAGTAACCGATGAAGGGTCAACTGGTCATTCACCACGGCCCGCCTCTCCTCCTACTTCACTGCCACGTGCTTTGAGGGAAATTGTGGCACTTTCATCTCTTCCTAGTTATGCTCTTCCACTTTTGGAGATGGGCTTCTCCAGACGACACGTTGTTCAAGCAATGATGGCCACAAGAACTCGAGAGACAGCTGATGCTCATAGAATCAATATGTTGGTTACCTGGTTACTGGAACACCCTTTTTCTGATGATAGGGTTGGTGACTTAAATTTTGTTATTACTAAACATTGATCCATGAGCGGTAAGCTCAAACTGTTCTCCCCTTTTTATCATTAATATTTTCTGTTTAAGTGTATTCTGCCTCAGTACCTTGGGGTCACACACTCATTTTATTACCACTGTTTATACTTCAACAAGCAGTAAAATAAGCTCCTGTATTGCCAATGAATTGTGACAGAGAAACAGAGAAACACTCAGACACACCCATGTGCGTCGTTTTCGTAATTAGTAGGTATTGTACGAGCCTGAGTATTATATGAAGCAGAGGGTGTTATCACAGAGGCCACATTCCTCGATCTCCATAATTCTTCACATGATACTCAGGCTCATCTAATAATTGAATAGACCTTTTTAGCTCGCATGTTTTGTTTTCCCATTTCAGACCACGTGAAAGAACTGTTTCTCTCAAATTTCGTCGTACGCACGTGCATCCACGTGCCTATGTATGCATAATCTATGAAAAGACAAAAGGCAAATTCTCTGGAGAACATCACGTGGTCTGAATTGGGAAAACAAAACATACAAGCTAAAAAGTTCTGTTATTGTTCATTCATATCAATTATTCATATTCTTTATCATTCATTCAATTATTAATACCAGTGCTAGGTTTTTCGTACTGTGACTATTTCACCCAAAGTTTTTTCTTTGTTCCATTTCTTTTCGTTCTAACTTGCCTTTCGTGAATATTTTTGTGTTGGTTATTTTCAAGTCTGACTCTGTGTGCCGACTGGCACAATGCAAGAAGGTGAAAGTGTGACTACAGTTAATCTGTCTATTAGGTGCACTCTTTGTATCCTTCCACTTGTGACATTAAAAACGATCGCTGTCTCTGTTGTAGAGATGTAATAAGTGTGAAATGCCTCTCTTTGCCTTTGTTTTTTAAGGATGGCGAGGATGGAGATGAAACAGGTTCACGTAATGAATTGTCTGGTCAGGCGGCCTCCGGTATGTAAACCTCTGTATAAAGTAATAATAATGAACTGTATGTACGTCGCAGCTAACCTATATGAAATGTTAAACGTAATCCCAGTTACTGGTTATAGAGACCTTAAGATTGAGGTTTGGCTATCTTATTGCAAGCGGCTAACCGCGGTTAGGGGTTATCTGCTCATATTTGGAACTTGGGACATGGGTACTAGCGCGTGCCTGCCATGTAAGTTTTCATCCATTAGTCTACCTCTATTTTAATGTGGCTAAATGAAATTTACGTAAACGTAAAATCTAGGCAATGTTGGTCCGTGGTTTCACTAATATGTGGGGGTCCCAGGGATGCTTGCATTTGCTTTCTGCTTTGGTAGGGTTTGCTTCGTTCGTACAGTTTGCTTTCTGTCTTCACCGCGGCTTTTTGGCGATTTTTTTGTCATTGTTTTGTCATTTGGATCTCTGTCAACATGCCTCGCAACACCAGCTTGACCACCAGTCAACAGCTTGAACTTGCTTACAACCCTTCGTTGCCTCCATCATCGTGCTGAACAGCCTTACAGTCAACAGCGACTTCCACTTGTGACTGCTCACTTCCGGCGCTTGTTTCGTCGTCTGTTTCCGTCTTTCCACGGACTGTTTCTTTCTCGGTACCTTTAGAACGGCGGTTCCCTCGCTGGAGATGCCCACAGCTCCAATCATGGAGGCCATTCAGCTGGCAGTTCCCACGTGGAACATTGTCTCGGTGGCATCCCTTCACGGCGACCTTGCATGTCACAACTGCAGTTTCCCAGGCCTCGAACAGCCTGGTCTGACTTTAGGAACTTAAGACCATCTTACGATTCATGGATAGGATAGCCATGGCTTTGGCTATCCTCTCCAGTTTCATGTTTATTGGTTTATTAAAGAGGTTTGTTGTTGAATTATTCTTTCCAGTTACTGCCAGTCTCCCACCATTTTCTCAGGTTTCCCCTTAGCTTTGGCGTTTACTACCCACCCAAACCAAGTTGTGGTCTCTGAAGGTATTAATGGCATTGAGCATAGATTCTGCCTTTCAATCCTCAAATCCCTTTGAAATCCGCTACGAAGAATAAGGCCTCCGCAAATCAACATCCTCCCAGAAATGACAAATACTTGATGATTTATCCCTTGGCCGCCTTTATCCATCGCCCCCACCACCCAATTTCCATATTAACAGTTTCGGGGCAATCAACCCTAATCTTAGACTTGTGCTCCCCTTTGGGATCCAGTGATAATGATGGTATCAGGCTAGACGATTTTCCACTTCAGTATATTCAAGCGGACAACCTCATTAAACTAGTCTGCAGATGTGGTTGTGGTGCTTTTATGGCTAAGATCGACGTAGAATCAGCATATCGGAACGTTGCTATCCATCCTAGTGATAGGTATCTTCTGGGGATGAAGTGGGGAGGCACGTTTTACAGTGAAACCTCTCTCTCAGGGTACACCCTTGGGACCAATGCAAGTGTCCCCTGAACAGAGTTTGGGCTGGGGGTTCTTAATAATTAACGAACAAATAAAACATTTTTCTTTTTTTCTGCCTTGGAATCTGCTGCAGTCACTATTTCAAGCAGCTGGATAATGTGTAACAAGACGCTATGGGAGCGTACACTTCGGCGTCGTGGTTGTGGAATTAATTTTGTATTCAGAGGAATAATAAGAAAATGATATTTTCCGGAAACTGTTCCATAGAAAACCCTTACTTTTCCCCGTTTGTGTAACAGACGTCGTAACTTCTTCACCGAAAGTCTGCTAGGTGCATGACCGCGTCGCCGTAACACAATTCGATTATAATTTCTGTCGTAAATAAATTGCGCACGACGAGATCTCAGTTCCACTTCCTTTATTTCCTCTACAACAACACCTTCCTTATGAACAGTTAACTCCACGCCTTCTCGAGCAATGTAACTAACATAAGTACACTCCCTTACAAAACTTGCTGAAAATGCACAATCTCCACACCGAGGATAATTCATGTACAACATCGCAACAAAATTATGACATGAAAAACAGTAACACGCAATACAAAAACAAGTATACAAACACCTACTCTTCTAAACAAAGCTAAAAGAAGAACAATGATAATGACACCTCTCACAACGGTTACGAAACCACGGTAACTGTGTTTTGCTTCCCCTTGTTGACAATCCATCGCTTTGTCTACACGCAACGCAAACGATCGCACCTCTTCCTCTTTCGAATAACTCTTGCTGCAATCATCTCCAGTTGTCGAAATCTCGTCACTCTCAAACTTTATACACATTTCTCTCCCCAAAATTTTCTCTAAGTAACTTGTGTGACATTGACTTCCTAAAAACTGTTTTCGTCTATTTGAGCATAATCTCTTTGAATGTCTCAATAATTTCCTTTCATCAACCTTGAGTTCGCGGACCAGCCCATTCCGAAAATGCCTTATTTCATTTTTTGGTGTGGGCCTACTGCGAACAGTGTGTGTATTTGTATGTGAAGTCGCTATACAACACAACGAATTTCAACAACGTATTTCAACAAAATATTCACACCTTTTTCTTCTTCAACAGTTACCCATTTCATCCCTACCTTGCTATTCACTTGGATCAAAAACATCCAACTCGTCCCTAATTGGCTTAGCCATTTCGCCCTACACAATAAACCAATCAGACAATAAAATCAAAGAAGCAACAAATTAAGATGACCTCTCAGGAAACTTGCACTTCAAATTGTCTATCTCTGATTGGTGCATTTCGATCCTCTTCTCTGCACATTCAATGCACATTTACATAAACTATTTAACATAAACTATTTTGGAGCTATGCACGTCAACCGGAACTGTACGCTTTTCCATTTCTAAGTGCCAAAACTCCACTTCCGGTCTCACTCAGTTTCTAATCCTCGCAAGCCGACTATTCGGCGTTCTTCAAATAAACCCCTGGCAAAATATTAACTTACCGTTCCTTAGGCGATCCAATTCAGATAAACTAAACAACTCGAGCTGATCTTGAGACATCTTGAACAACTTCCGCCCTCACTTCGTCAACAAACAGCGAGTTTACGACATTCCTGAGCGTCACAAATCCTTTAATACTTCGCGTTCCGCCTGAAATATTGATTGTAGCAGAAAGAACTCGAAGTGATCTCAAGACATCTCAAACTCATTCCGGTGTCACTAGGTCAAATACCCGAAACAAACCGAAAAGTCACCAACTTGCGTGCCCAATCTCATTCAATACCTATTGCATAACTTATAGCTATTTTTCACATCTCAAATCACCTTGGGTCGCAGTGGCACAATCCGTTAATCCCTTAACTTAGGGGTTCATCTGATCTGACGGGTCACACGTGAGCCAGTTCAAACCCTGGGCAAGCCAGAAATCGAATAAGTGCGGAAGTTGAGAACTCGAAGTGATATCGAGATATCTCGAACTAATTCTGCTCTCACTTCGTCAAATGGCCGTAAAAACCGAAAACCTAAGGACTTTGCGTGCCTAATCTTGTCCCCCAAACAAATCAATCTTGTCAATCTTGTCCCCCAACTTTGAGACTTACTGAGCGTCGCGAATTCTTTACTTCGTGCTCCGCCCAAGTAAGAAATAATGATTAACTTACCTCTGCGATGTACTTTGTTGAATTCCCACAAGTGCAATACATCGATTTAAGTGAGATAGTTCATGGTTTGAAAGCAGTCGTCATGGTGACTATTGAAAACTTAAATTTATCAACGATGTTTGTGGACAGTTACTTTTTGAGTGCTAAGGTGTCCCCTAAATGGAGGTTAAACCAGGGCTTCAGGACCCAAAAAAGTTGCTTTTTTCCCCCCTGAATAGACGTGTCCCTTCAATAGAAGTAACAAATACAAAGATTATGTGGACATTTTCCGGGAGCAAATTTTGTGTCCCCTGAATGGTGGCGTCCCTTGAATAGAGGTGTCCTAAAGGAGAGAATCCACTGTTTGCAGCTGAGCCACCAGATATACTATTTTGAGCCTACAGTAGTTGGCGAATACCATCATGTTGGTCATTCACGAAAATCAGTCCCTTCAACCGTCAATTACACTTGCTGACCTTTTATTGTGCTTTCAAGGTTCCGATTATGGGAGTATCAACTGTATATCTAATCCTTGTTACCCGTCCATTCCCGAAAACAAATTTAACCATTGCTTCTTCTTTTCTCTGCTTCCCTTCTTTTCTTTCCCTCTTCTTTATTTCTTGTTCTAGCATGAATGTTAGACTTGTACGACGCAAATAAAATAACTGATGGTTTATTCTTATTTTGGTCACGTGGATGTATTCATAAGACAACTTTTCAAAATACCAACAGACCTGATTTTTTAATGGGTACCTTCACAAAGAACCTGATCCTCGTCCGTCCTCTTTTTTCGTTAAAAACTCTAAAGTAGACATTATTTACAGTATTTATTCTTTCTCCTCCTCCTCCACGGTTCGTTCTTACCTCTGTTCTTACCTATTTTTCGGCTTCAGACTATAAAAAACTCGTTTTTTGACTTTTCCTTTTAATCAGACGGCTTGATTTTATATGTCGTATGTTTGAAGAAAAATTCACCCACATGGTTGGTTGTCCTTTGTGTCCTAAGAAGACTGCGTGTTGTGTGATCTCAATGGATTCTCTAGTGGCTCTAAAAACCCAGACTGGAAGCGTAGAGTCTGGAACAGGTGGAGCACTGGAATTGTTGTGATGTCAGCAGAGGTTGTTTTGTGGCTTAGTTCATAAGCTGCCATGCGTCTTTGACGGCAATCGTCCTCAAGACTGGTGGAGTGTGTGTGAGTCCATGAGTGCCAATGATTTCTGTCACTAGCTGCATTCTCAATTTTTGGAGGGGCTTGATGTCGCACCACCGAAGGTGCCCGTTCACAGTGTCCTTGTACCGCTTGCGTGGGCAGCCTTGCTCTCTCTTGCCAGCCTCAAGCACTCCATACAGCGGTTGACGGGGCATACAGTGGTCGTCCATCCTATGACATGTCCCACCCATCGCAGCTGGGCCTCTATGAGTATGGCCTCAATGCTGGTACACTCTGCAAGGTCCAGAACCTCGAGAGGGCCTCCATGTTGACTATATCAAAGGCCTTTGTCAGATCTATAAAGACAGAGTACTAGTAGAGGGCCTTGTTCTGTGCAATGCACGTCTCCTTCACCTGTCTGACGACAATTATCTTGTCCACGTTGCAGCTTCTTCGTCTGAAGCCACACTGTTCCTCTGGGAGACTTCTTTCGGAGACTGTGATCAGTCGGTTCGGGAGAATGCAGGCAAAGATCTTCCCCTCTATGGAAAGGAGTGAGATGCCCCTGTAGTTTACACGGTCAGACTTGCTCCCCTTTTTCTTGTAGAGAGCAACAATAAGAACATTGCAAAAGTCTTCAGGCGTGTCCGCTAGTGCGTTGAGGCCCGCAGCTTTGAAACTCTCAGCTGGGATACTGTCTTTTCCTGACGCTGTGTTGGAGTTCATGACGGAATTGCTTTCTTGGCTTCGTCAGTAGTTGGTGGCTGATCGAGTCCTTCCATGACTGATTGTTGCGAGACATGCTGAAGAGTCACTTGTGCAACTGTGTAAGGCCTGTTGAGTAATGTGGAGTCTTTCCTAGTCCTTGATCAAGCTTGATCCGTCAAAAGACAACAGGGGGAAGAACCCTCATATAGATGGGCTACAGACGGTTTTTATGGCATTGAAGAACTGTTTTGTGTTGTAGATGTCTGAATAGTGCTGCCTTCCTCTGCCACCAGAGGTCTTGCATTTTCCTGAGTTCTGTCTGCACTTTGGACTTTAGGTCTTTGAATTTTTTCATTCTTTGATGTAGATGATTGGTCTCTCTGCCACTCAGCATTTGCTTTGTTCTTGGCATCCAGTGGTGCCGAGATGGATTCATGATTCTCGTCGAACCAGTTTTGGTGTGACCAGGTTTTTGGTCCTAGCACAGCTTTGACATTGTTGGTGATATTCTGCTGCTCGAATTGCTCGTGTGATCGTGACATCCTGTAGGTGGCTCTGGCGTACAATGACCAAATCAATCATGTGCCCATGTTTGGACCTGGGGTGCATCCAAGTGGTTTTGTACTTGTCTGCAAGTTGGAATATCCTGTTTGTGATGCACAGGTTGTACTGTGCACACTTGCTCGGGAGCAATAGTCCGTTGCTGTTCAGTTTTCCTACTCCGTGCCTTCCAAGGAGTCCAACCCAGTTTTTATAGTATATATATAGTTGTTTTCCCTCCCTAGCGTTAAAATCTCATAGGATGACCAGCTTGTCACTGAGTGGCGTTTGCTTAATGATCTGGTCGAAGTCGTCATAGAACCGATCTTCCTCTTCGTCTGCACACATGAGAGTTGGTGCATAGGCGCTATGTTGGTGATGTGCCAGGACTTGGAAAGTAAAAAGAGGAATTTCATGAGGTATTCGTTGACACTTGTGGGTAGGTTTGTGGTGTTCTTCAGCAGCGATGGTTTCATTGCGAATCCTGCTCCATGGATCCTGTCCTGTCCTGTTTCAGGTTTCCCCTTCCAGAAGAACGTGTATCTACAGAAAAACTAGAAGTAAAGTATTAATACAGGGTGAATATTTGTGATTGGCAAAACTATATTGCCCAAGGCATTCTTCTGTCAAAAAAATCCCTTTAGAAATCTGTCACGCATAACAGAACTTCTTTTCCAGAACTAACCTCTTCTCCATCTAACTTTCCTTGACAGCTGTCTTCTTCTTTCTCGGTGGTGATCTTTTCTTCAGCGTTTCTTAAAGGCTCAGCAATAGTAAGCCCTTTTTCTTTGGAGAAATGGATCACATTGATAGAAGGTATGATCGGCGTCGACATAACCGGAAGGGCGTAAGCATTTGGTCGTACCCTGGCCTGACTCCCCCTATTGACTTTGAAATGTGCAGTGATGCCTCAGGTTCATTAGGTTTCGGTGCCTCGTTCGACCCTGACTTGCCCTGTGGTCTGTGGCCTTCTGCTCTGAGTATACGGAACTATTTGTAATCGTGCTTGCTGCTCATGTCTGAGATTCTTCCTGGTTCAGGCAGGTTGTTCTGTTCCATTCAGATAGCAAGTCATTATTACATATCCTTAAAGTTATGCTTCGTTGTCTTCGTGCATCAGCTACCAAGCATAAATTTCAATTCTCTTCTCGTCATCTTGCTGGTACTGATAACAAAGTAGCTGATGTCTGATCTTGTTTTCAGTGGCAGACCAGCTATTGCCTAGCCCCTAAACCCGAAACCCACTCTTTGGCAATCCCGTCCGAGGTGCGGCATCTCTTGACTTACCAGCCTTAGAAAAGGACTGACTACTTCACGTTAATGTCTCATGGTTTGGCTCCCTCCACCCACCGGACATACAAATATGCCCAACATCGCTTTGTTAACTTCTGCTCACAGCTTGGAAGACTTCACCCTAAGGGATCACCTTGCCCCTCAGTTATGCTTTATTTTCCAGGACCATGTTATTCCAACCTGGCTTACTTTGGTTTTCTTCGAGTGTCCGAATTCACCGTCCCTTCATCGTCTGATTTTAATCCTTTACTTCACTTGACCAGCACCTACTTGCTTACGTTTACCATCAAGACCTCCAGGACTGATCCATTTCCCAAATGCTGCCAGATCTTCATTGGCCAAGGTAATCCCCCACTTTGTGCCTTGTCAGCTTCTGAATTCACCGTCTCTTCATCGTCTTATTCCAATCCTGTACTTCACTTGACCGTTGCCGACATTTCCGCACCTGCTTGCTTACATCACCATCAGGACTTCCAAGTCTGACTCATTTCAACAAAGGCTGCCAAATGTACATTGGCCGAGGTAAGCCCCAACTGGAACTGCATGGAAGTTCTCCTGGTCCACTTTTTTTACGCTCCAATGGTCTGCCTCTTTCTTTTGCTTTCCTTTCTCAATGGTCAAAAGATAGTCTTGTAACAACAGGCATCGGCTGACCCATATCCAGCCACAGCTTCTGAAATGATGTCGCAACTTTGGCCACTCTTGCTGGTATACCAGACCATCTTATTCTAGCGATGTGGAGTTGAACAAAGAGTGCCTACCAGCTCTATATCCGCACCCCAGCAGAAGCTTTGGCACTATTTACTTCCCGTCTCTCTCACTAGCCTCGGTACGTTTTGTTTCGCCGCCACTTGTTAGCCGCTGATTTCAGCTGCCATTGCTTTGCTTTCGCGAAATGGTGCTTGGGGTAACCTGGGATGAAGAGGTGCCATGTCCATCCTGGACGCGTGCCCTCCTTTCTCCAAGCACTTGCGTGTTGGAGACCGGCTCTGGGAGGTGGTCTGTGGCCAGGTTGCCAAAGAGAGCCTTAACTGCTGAGGAGATTGCTCCCCTCCTTGCTAGCTACCTATACTTCAATTAATTGGCTTAGAGTTTAAGCTGAGAAATCGTTTTCAAAACTACGTTTCTATAAAAAGTAATTCGATAATCAATAAGCGAAAGACTTTGAAAACTAGTATTTCCCATCGAACGTTTGATTGAGGTGTTTTTGAATGCAAAAATCTCTGCGGTAAATCACTTACCTCTAGAGAGTCGTTTAACCGTACAAACGTGAACTTCAGACTGTATACCTGACGGTAAGGCATGGGTGGGATGCCCAAAAACATCGATCTTTTAAAAGGTATCTTATGACAATATCACAAAATATGGAAATGAACTTCTAGGTAACAAAGACTAATGCAATAATACAAAATCGCTCGCTTTTAACTTATAATATAAAATAGGGTTGTCTCAGCTGTTATGAAACCCTACGAACAAAAATAAACATCTTCAAAGTTTAATAAACAGTACATTTTGCCCGTAGATGACTTCAAAAGGAGTAGCTTTCATTTGCTTATATTGCCATAGGTATAAATAGTAAGCTTGCAAGGAGTGTGTATTTTCAGTGATTGCTGTGGGTTGTTTCAACAGATGAAAGTAGATTACCACCAACGAGAAGCTATGATACTGTGGAGGAAGTTGTCTATGAAGACATTGATATGGATCTTGATGATAGCGATTTTGAACCAGGGGCAGATAGAGAGCTTCTTGGGCTTTTTTTTCCAGAGGTGAGCCTGCTGTAGTAACAATGCTTTTTTTCCAGTTTTGATCGAGTGCATTTGTGAGTAAATTTTAAAGAACAGCAGAGAGGAAAGGGCAGCTGAAAAACATTGGTGCATGAACAGTGTGACAGGGAATTGGGTTTTCCTTTATGATTAACAAAGAACTTGTTTGTTGTTTATTGTCCTCTAGTTTAGTCTAGTTCTCGCGGAGCGAGCGGCCGTTAGACCGCGAGCGAAGCGAGTTTATAATTTTATCGCGAGGATTGCAAGCGGAGTGGGATTTCGCTTTAGTCATAAATCTTTCTTTCTATCGGTTTGGTATCCGCAGTTGCCTAGCAATAAGCCACAAACAAATCCTAAAGACGCCATTCAGCTTGGGTTTCCAGACAACTCGTCCACCGACTAACGTTGGCGAATCGCCTGTCGAATCGCAAAGCATATCTGAGGCAAATAACAGCGGGTTGCAAACACAAAAGTGCCCGATTGGACAAGTGGCTGGAAAACCTTGCCGTGGAAGATTGAACACCAGGCTGATTTAGCAACAGAACGGGAACGTCAGTTGACGACGTCGCGCGCAAATAAAACAACTGGCTTGACCAAAGGCTGAGCGGCAAATTGTGCACCGGAAGTCGAGTATAGTCCTTTCCGCGCGCTTTCCCGTCGTCAAATGACGTTCCCGTTCTGTTGCTAAATCAGCCTACCGAAAGAACGGCAACCTGAACTTCAGCGAGAGCAGCCAAGAAGAAGACCAGTGCGTTCATCGAGCGGCCTACATAAAGCCCGATAGTGAATAAACGAGGAAATAATGCTAAATGGTTTTGAAATACTCGTTTAAGCTATTTTTCTTCAATTGTATCTTTGAATTCCTGATAAATACAGCTGCACAAGGTTCAAACAGTGTGAATGGCAGAGAAAACCACTTCAACACTATTAATTTTAACAATCAAATTTTGCTGTGGTCGCATGGCCAAGTGGTATGAAATCTCACTTTTTGGGCTAGAGGAAGTTGGGGTGCAGGTTCAAATCCCGGCGGGGCTACTTCCAGTTTTTTCTTGTTGTTGTTTTAAATTGTTTTGTTTTCTTTCATCGTATTTTGACCGTTTGGCTTGTTTCCGTTTATTCTCACTGCTGACACTTTTTAGCTTCGCGAGATTTTTGCGATAAACGTGTCTCTAGTTAAGTTTTGTTGTTGTTTTTGCAGTTGGCTAGCCATTCTTCTCGTGAATCAGTCGCACTTTGTGACATCTGTGAACAGAATGTTCAGAATCTTAGTCGGCACATGCGTAATTGTCATCCTGGGTGCGGTGGTAACTGCAGTCGCCATGGCTACCGCAGTGATGGTGTCTATACAGATGGCTGGTTTGGTGGGATATGTGGGACTGGACACCCATATTACCTGCTGTGTCCTGAATGCCATAACCGACACATGGCTAAAGCTCAAGAAGCAAGGACACTTGCAGCATTTAAAGCAACAAAGCTGTAAGTCGAATAGAATGTCCTCTTTTTTGACCAAGTTTTTTTTCCTTTGGTACAGCCGTATTTGGCAACTAACGTAGAAATGATAATGTTAAAGCATAGACTGGACATGGATATCAATTAGTTTAAGGTGAGGAAACTTTTTAGCGAATTTGTCCACACAGGTCAATAGACGATGCTCGAGTGTTGTTAGAAGCTCCAGATCTATTAGGACCTTGTGAAACAAGTGAACACGAACAAGGTACGTTTTTATAATTTGTTTTTCGAGTGAGTACACCAAGTAAAAGAAACAGTAACTTTTAGGTGTCATACACTTCTCGTGCTTTTTAACCCTAAACTTTTGTGCAAATAAACAAGGAAAAAAAAGATAGTAGACATTAACCTTCATTTTTACTCTGTAGTACAGTAACCCCCCTTTACAGAAAGTGGCTTAATACGGTCACCTTATTATTACGGGCGGTTTTCCTTGTGCTTGAGAAAAAAACCGTTACATTTTCTCTAAATTCAACCCGCTTTCTAAGGACACCCCATTAATGGCTACGTGAGGGCTTTCTTTTCCCAGGGACAAGGCAAACTGTCCGCAATAATGAGTTCTCCATATGAAGCGGGTGTCCGTAAAGCGGGGTTTGATTGTACTGTTATTCATTTAAAATACTTTTCCTTCCGCGAGTGGCCAAAACTCTCCTGTTGATTTTCCACACTATCTTACGCAGACCAAATTTGGAAGGTAATCATCATTGGTCCAATAATTTTATGACGGGATGATGTACGGTGAGAAGGAAAAAGTGGCTGAAAGGTTTCAAACGCTTGAGGGAGACGGAATAGGTGACGTTCATATAATTACTAAAGACAGAAGAAAATAATATATGCAAAAAGCCGGTAAAGGA